GGCCTGGTTAAAAGGGAACATTTTTGCCTATCGCCTAAAGGTGTATAAGGATGGTGCCAGGTGAGCCTCCCTGGGGAGAGCATTGCACAAATGGGAGCCATTGCAGAAAAGGCTTGTTCTTGTGTTGCCACCCTCCAGACCTTTTGTGGAGGAGGTACACAAAGAGGGGCCTCACGTGATGATCGCAGGATCTGGGTCAGTTCATATGGGGAGTGGTGGTCCTGGAGGTATTGTGGTCCTGAATCACTTAAGGCTTTATAGGTCCAAACCAGCACTTTGAATTGGGCCTGGAAAATAATTGGCAGTCAGTGCAGTTGGGCCAGGATTGGCATTATACGCTCAAACCCTCTTACCCTGGTGAGCAACCTGTCTTCTGAATTCTGCTCCAGCTAAAGTTTCCAAACCATCTTCAGAGGCAGCTCCATGTATAACACATTGCAGCAATCTTACCTACAACTTAGCAGAGCATAGACAACAGAAGTTAGGCTATCCCTGTCTAGATAGGAGTACAGCTTTGGAGGATGTAAGACACTCTGAGCCACCTAAGCTCAAGTGACAGCAATGGATCCAGAAGTACCATCAAGCTGTTTCCTCACTCCTTCAGTGGGATTGTAACCCCATCAGTAGTAGGCAACCTCCCATCTATCTGGTCTAGGGAACTGCCCATTCATAGAATCATAGAATCATAGAGTTGGAGGAGACCACAAGGGCCATCGAGTCCAACCCCCTGCCAAGCAGGAAACACCATCAGAGCACTCCTGACATATGGTTGTCAAGCCTCTGCTTAAAGACCTCCAAAGACGGAGACTCCACCACACTCCTTGGCAGCCAATTCCACTGTCGAACAGCTCTTACTGTCAGGAAGTTCTTCCTAATGTTTAGGTGGAATCTTCTTTCTTGTAGTTTGGATCCATTGCTCCGTGTCCGCTTCTCTGAAGCAGCAGAAAACAACCTTTCTCCCTCCTCTATGTGACATCCTTTTATATATTTGAACATGGCTATCATATCACCCCTTAACCTCTTCTTCTCCAGGCTAAACATGCCCAGCTCCCTTAGCCGTTACTCATAAGGCATCGTTTCCAGGCCTTTGACCATTTTGGTTTTCCCAGTGCTTCTTGTCTTATCTGGATTGAGCTCCAGTTTACTGGCTCTCATCCAGTCCATTACCAAGGCAAGACAACAGTCCAGCCCATCCACTGCCTCACCTGCAGATGTAAAGGGGAAGTCCAGCTGGGTTTCATCAGCATATTGCTGACAACGTACTCCAGATAGCCCCACTCAGTGGTTTCTTGTAGATGTTAAACAACATGGGTGATAAAATTGAACTCCGAGGAACCCCACATCGAAGGCTCCATGGGGCCAAAGAGCACTCTCCAATGTGTACTCTCCACCATGTGTACCCATTTCTGGACAATCTTCTCTTGAGGTCACACTACAATTGACAAGTGAGTCAGAGGTGCCAATTCAATCAAGGAATGTCTCTCAGCATGTGGTTTCATAATAAATTGAAAAGAAGAAAAAGTAATCTTCAGCCAGCACAGCATCTACAAGCTCTGTTGGATACACAGAATGGGTTGGTATCAGTCAGCCTAGATCGTGTGTTTAAAATATTGCCAGCAAATTGCTGCTTATGAGGTCAGCACTGCTGATACACATAGCCCATGGTACAGGGACTTGTAGTTTCGACAAGTCATCTGATGTTTTGGGCAAAACATATCAGACCATTACAATGGGTATTACTACCTTTTTAGATACTTTTGACTGTGGGCTATGATTCTCTAAGAGGGTAGACTCCAGAATTCAGTTTATTTCTTAGATCTGGTGAGAATGGTAATGACTACAAGATGCCAGTCTGATGGGCATCTGGTCGAAGAACAAGGCTACTCATAGTGTGAATTTGTTGGAGTTTTGGGAGGCAAGTTTAACTCTTTGGCATTTTGCCCAAAGCTTCAACTTGGATCACATTAAAGGACAGATCTTGGTCTCAGAGTTTGCAGAGCTAGGCGGCAGTCCTCATGAATAAGAAGGAAGACTGCAGAGCGTATGAAAAGGGAGTCAAATGTGTGGGTCCACTGACTAAGTCGACAGCAAGTTCATTTGAGGAAATGACACTTAGCATCCATGTTTTGCAGTGTCTTGAGTCAAGTTTCAACCAGGGAACTCTGGCTCTGTTTGCTTCTCCAGTGAACATACAGACTTAACCTTTTTTAAAACCTGGTTCCAGTGATCAAAGGCATAAGAGATTGATACACTGTCAGTGTTTGGACTAGAGGGTCTTCATTTTGCTTTCCTACAAATTTCACTTCTGCAAAGTGTTCTAAGAAAATTGAGATTGGAGAGGTCTTGAATAATTCTGATAGTGTCGGTTTGGCCATGGATTACAGAATGACCATGGTTTACAGAAATTTTGTAAACGGCAATAGCTCCACATGCATTGCAAATACTGCCTCATTCTGGGTCTTTTGAACTATGGTTCACCCAGATTTGGAGAGGTTCCATCTCACTGCTTGAAAATTGAGCAGGAGAATATGAAAAGTTGTGGCTTCTTAGATATCATGATGGACGTATTGGCTTCTTGGAGTCTTTCAGTGATCTGAATCTGTCAACTGACATGGAGGAAGTTCCTTCAATAGTTAAGATCAAATGACATCAACTTGGAGTCAGAGAATTTACCCCCAACTATAAAATAAATCCAGTAAGTCTTTTTGTCCAATGGATGGGTTTTTGCTTTATTTGAATACTCTTTTAACCCTATGATATTATACCAGTGCTTTTTTCTGGGGGGGGGGGGGACTCAAGGGTTATGCAGTACTGGCACCTTTTTTCTAGAACAAAAGCACTGGTTATAAATGTAGCCCTTACTGTAACAACTTCATGGTGAGTGCCAGCACCATTTTTTCCCCCTGGAAGAAAAGCACTGATTATACCCTTAAAAGTACTGCTATAAAAACAGCTGTTCTGGATTTATAGGATTAGGAAAGGAAGAACAAACCAAAGGGGAGAGAGAAATGTTTAGTATTCCCAACTTGAAGTAACTTCAAAGAAGCACTTATCCCTTTTCTTCCCCAGAAGGCCAAATATTCTGTTTAATATTTTGCCCAAACGGATACAGTGACATTCAGCTTGATCCTGTGCAAGATTATTTGGAAGTAAATCCCGCAGTGTTCAGTATGGCTTCCTTCCAGGTCAGTGAATGCACCAGCTTTTGCTAGCCTGATGCCTTCCATACGTTTTGCGATAAAACTTGTATCAGCTCCAACCCGTGTGGAAGGCACCCAAGTCGTCAAAGACTGGTGTAGAGTTGGTGCCTGGCTGTAGTCCTTTTGCATTCTTGCCTGGTAGGTAAGTCTCACCAAACACTGGGGGATATAATTCCAAATAAACTTGCCTAGGACCTGGGAGCCTGTGAATAAGCTACTTCCCAAAGCCTGAGGGCAGTATCCTTCAAAATAGATGTGCTGGTGCAGTGACTTTTGGCTACACAATAGAACTTCCCTTCCCTCTCATCCTTTCCTAAAAATTGTTCTGGAGTTTTCCCCAACTTTCCAGAGCAGATCCAGAGAAGGCGAGGAGAGTGGAGAGGGAGAAGTTCCACTGCATGCAGAAATCCTTGTGGTAGTGAAACTACTTCACTGGGTACCACGTAGATAACTGCAAATGCTTCCACATTTCAAATGACTTGTCCTTAGGGCGTACAAGTAAGGTTACCACACAGTCCCCGGATTTACAAATCAGCCCCCATACAAAATCCATTGAAGTTGAAAAGTGTCCCTGGATTCCTTGAAAAAAATCTGGTAACCTTACGTACAAGATTAAGATAAACAAGAAAATTCAACTGGCGTGGTCTTCTTGGTTGGGTATGAAATGCAATACCAAGACAGAGCCATTCTGTTTGTAAAAACAAAGCAGAAGCCATCAAAAGCAAAAATGAAAGTCCTGTGTCAGTTGTTCAGGCATGTATACCTAAACCAACTCATCCCAGAGTGGATGATCTGGCGAAGGGAAAGAGAGGACGGTCTCCGGCTGTGCCACAGTTTAAATTTCCCGCAGCCACGCTCCCTGCCCCTGCCAGCGCCAATTGGGCAGTGAGGGCCACTCCTAGGTGGGGCCCAGTGCTGGCAATGCAGTTGAACAGTGCCAAGGAGGTGCTGATTTCCGGCCCTGGCCAGATCACTGCAGGGCCTGGTGCCTGCCCACAACGCCACCTACCAGGTAATGTAAGCAGACTTGCAATAGACAGATTAAAACAGAAACAAAAATGGGACAGTCCTAGGCTAGTGATAGGTAGCTGACACTACATCAGCCATGGCCTCATGGGGACAATTTGGGAATAGTAAAAAGCAATTTTGCAATCCAGTTTACCTAGCTGTTCAGCATAGTTTCTGTTCCTTGAGCAGTCCAGTTTTCTTATGGTAACTTGTAAGGTCACCCAGTGAGTTTGGTGACCAAACAGGGCTTTAGGTCCTATCCAACACTAACCACTACACCACCACTGGCTCTTTATTTTGGATTTTGGAAGTTTTGAAGGTGGTAGCAGCTCCTTCCACACATTTTTCAAGTTATGGAGGGGTTTGTGTGAGCCCTGCTATAGTGGTTAGGAGCAGTTAAAATCTCATCTCTTCCATCGACTCAACAGTTTACTGTCCCCCACATTTCACACTGGTGCAACAACAGAAAGGAGGTGATTTGCTCAAGGTCACTGTCTTTCAGTCTTGGGTCTCATCTGCAATGTGGGAATGATGATGATTACTGAGAGTGACCTATGCAAAGCCCTTGAAAGTGTTCCGAGTGTTGTAAATGCTGTAAAGTTTTCTCCCTTTTCTCAGATTTAGCTGCGAGTTTTTAAAAAGAAAAGACAGTGTAATTTTGTGGAAAAGAATGCACATTACAGTTTTATGTGAGGTTCATCTAATGCTGTAAGTAGGACGATGTTACTGCAGTTATTAATGGTGCACTTATTAGGTAGTTGAATGTGTTTTTCTCTGTCTTTACTCTTACAGGCAAGCTAATGAGGAATATCAAGTGCTGGCTAACTCATGGCGCTACTCTTCGGCATTTTCGAACAAACTTTTCTTCACTATAGTAGATTATGATGAAGGCGCTGATGTTTTTCAGCAGGTGAGAAGGTGCATTCCCGAATGCTAAGCTGCTCTGTGTCCATCTTTCTAATATATTCATACTCTTGGTTGCCTTAATTGTATGTTTCAGACATGTTTTCCCTTTTTTTTTAGAGGGGTACGCCCAAGCACAGATGATGGAGAGACTGCTGTTGTTATTGAGGTTATTGATGAGAAAATTCCACCATACTCCTTTAGCTGCCACTAAAAATGAAGAATGTTGCTGTTCTGAGAGATCCGCAGCAGTTTGCTTCTGCTGCCCACAAAAATGTACACATTGTTCATTTTTTGTAGTCCACTTCAGATGATCGTGAAACTATGGCTTAGATCAGGGATGAACAAACCTTCCCACCCCTGTTCCACTCAGGGCTAATCTTTTGGGGTCAGTGGGCAAAGCCAGAAGTGTTTTCAATTAACTAATCTGGAAGAAAGACCAATTTTCGCTATGCCTACCTCAGATTTGAATTCCCAACCTAGATAACTGTGCCCAAAAGTAACCCTCAGTGGGTTTTATGGGGCTACTCTCAAATAAATATACAGAGGTTGGGGGGGGGGGTTAGTGCAACAGACAAAAGTAGCTAGTGTTCTGAAAAGCAAGTGAAATAAACTGCTTTCTTACTTTACTGTGCTATATATACATACACACACAAGCACATGCACACACATATACACACACAGAAGCCTACCACTTCTCCCCAGGCTATACAAGAAAACAAGTTTAAAAGTTTTTTAAGAGATCAGTTTATTTTTATAAAACAAGATTGCTACTGCTTCCAGTTATCCTGAAACTTTGACACTAATAGTTTTATACTAAAATGTAGGTCATGGCCATCTGTAACCAACTTGCCATGTCATTTTCTCCCCCTTCTCTTCATAATGTATATCAGTTGTCAGGGATTTGATGCCATTACCTATGTTCTCCCATTCTTCAGCATCGGCTGCTGTTGGACGGAAAACGTGTACTGTGATGGCATCACATCAGATGTAATTGAATATATATGTTATGGGGAAAAGGGGAAGAAGAGTGTGGCACAGAGAGACTGTTTTTGATGGCCACCCTAACACAATGTGTAGCTTTTGTCCTTCCCTATTGCTGATAACTTTTTACCTTATTGCTGATTGCTTTTTTTCCCCTCTTCCATCCTCTCGCACGCACCCCATGGAGCTGAGTAATTGACTTCGCATAAAATGCATATCATTCAAATTGATTACTTCTTTAAAAAGACCTCACTTTTGCCAGTTCACAAAGTGAGTTGCAGTCTAGTTCAGCAAAGCTATGTGCTGTTTTCTGAAATATTACATTTGACCAAAAAAACCACAACCAACCACATTTCCTAGTGCCTCATATTTTGCAGTTTCATGACATATTGGGTTGTCAACAAATATTCCGCGGAGGAAGAGAATATGTTGTACTTGGAATAAATCCAATTATTTAACATCCAGCTTGATTATTGTACATAATTTGAATTTGCAACATTTAAATAATGTATTTATGTAACATAATTTAGTTGTGTAGTGAGCATACAGCCCTGGTAATGAAAATGGCTGGGCTTGTGTATGTCATTAGAGGCAATCTTGTTCCATCCTCGTTGCTTTCACAGGTTTCTTCACTCAGATTTCAGGGTAACCTTATATGTCCACATCCCTGAGTTCTGAGAGAGAGAGAGCATAAATAAATACAATATTGCCTTTCGTTAGTGGAAAATAACAGCTTGGATCCCGACATAGCTTTAAGGAAATTGGAAGGAAAGTTTCCTGTTCCATCCTTCCGTCTGCAGTTACCTATGATGACCAAGGAGGCTTGGAAGCTCTCTTGAAGAATGTGGGATGAGGCACAAGGGCTGCTGGGAGAAAGATGAAGCAACAGGAACTTTTCTTATGAGAATTTCCTTAGCTTAGGATCCAAACCTGATTTGATGCAATTCCCCGCTTCTCTTACTGCCCTTCCCCATGTTTCATCCCACATTGTTCTGGGAGTACCCCTGAACACAAGATATTTTTAAGAGATACACTGGCTGCAGAGAAAATGAGGGGTCAGGAAACATTTCCTTTTGTAAACGTCTACAGGTTAGCTTATAAGATCTAGGCTGATGATGATACTTAGCTTTTATATTTCATCTTTTGAGTTCCAACCCCACCCCCCATGAGAAGCAATGAGAGGTACTCAACTGACTGTTTAAAAACTTAACTGTTCACATGGGGATTCATACACCCTGATCCTTAGTATTCGCTGTACTGAACTTTTGTACATCTGTTGAATATTGTATTGTATAATTTCTGTTTTGCAAATTGCCTTGTTTTTACAATAGAAGGTGATCCGTAAATGGCTTTAAATACATAAATTACATGTGTGCAGCTGACCTGTACTGTACTGACCTTATTGTTCCCATACAGTAGATGGGGACTTGATAGAAGCCTAGTGGCTTGATTTAATGGCACATTGTTAAGCATTATAAGCAATATACTTCCATACTTTAACAGTTTCCCGAAAGGCTGACAAAGGACAGATATGCTTTTTTAATATTTGGTGGCATCTTTGTTGTCTCTCATAGCTCAATATGAACTCTGCTCCAACGTTCATGCATTTCCCTCCGAAAGGGAAGCCCAGGAGAGCTGACACATTTGACCTGCAGAGAATTGGATTCGCAGCAGAGCAGTTAGCTAAGTGGATAGCTGACAGAACTGATGTTCATGTAAGTCACTTGACAAAGTTAAGAGACTCATCCACACTTATCTTCATGTTCTGTGACAAACAGACCTTAGGAATTGGGGTTCCCTCTTCCCCACTACCTTCAAATGATACCCCCCCCCATAAGAGTCCTCTACAAAATGTATTAAAATAATAAAAGTGCCAGCTGTGCTACTCTATCACTCTTTGGTAACTCCAGAGGGGAAAAAATTAACGATGTATTTCAATCTTGCTTTGGTAGCTAAAATATTAATCTGGCTGTCTCCTAGCAGAACATGAGGAATGATATTGTACCAATTAATTGATTAATGTGAGCACGTACTTGAAATATTTCTTATTGCTAGTAATAACTCCCAAGTCTTAACACTGAGTAGTTGTTGATTTTTTTAAAAAATAATGCTGTAGATGTACAATTGGTAAATATACTGAACAACTTTATTTAACTGCATGCAGGCATAGTGGGCAAGAACATTGTAGGAAAAGTATTTATCTAAAGGAAAAACTAGAAGTCTCTTTAGAATTAACGAAGAGTTAAAATCTTGACCGCTTCTTAGGGTTGATGCAAAGGGGACTTTTCAAGAAACTGGGGGATGTTTTTAGGTTCACTGCTCAGATGGGGCACAGCTCACCAGCACATTCTCTTGTGCAAACATTGCTAAAATGAATTGACGACTATAAGTTCCCTTTCATTTCATCAGGTCTAGTGCAGGAGAACCTTGCAGTGGAAATTCTTTCAAGTTATCTCCTGAGTTTAGAGCATCAGGCCCCTTTGCCAGGCTCTTCCACTTCGGTGTGCTGTTGCTGTGACTAGCATAAACTTGCTGCCATCTGAATGTGGTTTTGTAGTTGCCACTGAAGGTTTAGAGGAGGGGTAGCCAATCTGGTGTCCTCCGGGTGATTTGGAATACAGTTCCCGTTGGATCCAGCCCAGTGCTATTTTTCTAGAAAAAGTGGTGCTGAAACTCACCATGAACACCCCCCTTGTTCTCTTATAATGGCAATGGTGCCCACCTGAGAGGTGCTGGAACTGAGTTCCTCCTGAAAAAAGCCCTGCCTCCAGCAAGCATGGTATCACCCACACACCGAAAAATGGGGGAAAAGCAGTTTTAATCTGCACTTGTGGCATTTTACTTGACTAGATGCATACAAGTTTAATTGTGAATGGCTGGCTCTGTTTAGTATGTAAATTCTGCATGCCTAGGTGTATGTCTACTTATACAGTGGTACCTCAGGTTAAGTACTTAATTCGTTCCAGAGGTCCGTACTTAACCTGAAACTGTTCTTAACCTGAAGCACCACTTTAGCTAATGAGGCCTCCTGCTGCTGCCGCGCCGCCGGAGCACAATTTCTGTTCTCATCCTGAAGCAAGGTTCTTAACCTGAAGCAATATTTCTGGGTTAGCGGAGTCTGTAACCTGAAGCGTCTGTAACCTGAAGCATATGTAACCCAAAGTACCACTGAAAGCAGAAAACACATGACATGCTTTTTCTTGTTTTACAGATCAGAGTGTTCAGGCCCCCAAACTATTCAGGTACCATTGCATTGGCTCTCCTGGTGTCGCTAGTCGGTGGCTTACTCTACTTGCGGCGAAACAACTTGGAGTTCATCTACAACAAGACTGGTTGGGCAATGGCAGCACTGGTAAGCCAACTTTACATTTTTTTAAAAAAAACCTTTTCGAAGCTCAATTAATTTGATTGTTTATATAACAAGATTTCAAGTCCCATTCGCACTGTTAATGAGAGAGCACTGCATTAATAAATAGGTTAGCGAGAGACAGCATTGATTGTGAAATCATAACAGGAACAGCTGGGCCAAACCTCAAGGGCAGTAAACAGTGCTAGCATGCAATTAAGAGGTTGCCGATACCCTGGCTAATTGTAATTGGTTCCAGTGTTGGCAGAAGTTGGTTAAATTGACACCCCCCCCCAAGTTCAAAGGCATGAAGGTTACAACTCACAAGTCAACAGTTGCTCAGAACTGGGGGGGGTGGTAGGGTGGGTATGCTTATGCAATTAAAGATACTGATAATCACTGTTTTATCAGATATATAACATTAGTTTTAGTGACTGAAACGTAAGATAGAGCTGGGCTCCTTAAAAATTGGCACGGGAAAATATGAGCCACATGGCTGCAGCTAATGTTAGGTTCTTGTACCAAAGTTCTTTTCTATGACATCTTTGCTAGGTAAGAGCTTAGCTTTAGTGGGTGGGAGTACAGCTCCCTCATCTGAAATCTCAGTACTTGAATCCACTGTTGAAATACCTTCATTTATTGTTCAGCATCCGTTATAATGAATCTGTGTTGCATAGTTGTTTTCAGTCTTTTACTTGTGCTGTTGCTTTGTTGTTGTTTAAAAAAATCTCTGCACCCATGAGAACAAGGCAATTCTATTTTAAAACAAAGCTGTCACCACCACCACCCGCCATTGAAGTTTATGAACCTGACAGAATAATGGATCTGGGAGAACTCCCAAGTCCGAGAGTATTACTTATACTCCCACCTCCACATTGAGCTCTTCCTTTTATTGTTACTTCCTTCACATGTAAGTAACAATGCTGCTAACAGTGCATGGTTCAGTTGCTGAACTGTCATGAACCAGATTCAGGTAGGTAGCCATGTTGGTCTGACACAGTCAAAATAAATTAAAAAATTGTCCAGTAGCACCTTGGAGACCAAATAAGTTTGTTTTGTGTGCATGCAGTGTCTGAAGAAGTGTGCATGCACACGAAAGCTTATACCCAAAACAAATTTAGTTGGTCTCTAAGGTGCTACTAAAGGGACGCGGGTGGCGCTGTGGGTTAAACCACAGAACCTAAAGTAAAGGTAAAGGTACCCCTGCCCGTATGGGCCAGTCTTGACAGACTCTAGGGTTGTGCGCCCATCTCACTCAAGAGGCCGGGGGCCAGCGCTGTCCGAAGACACTTCCGGGTCACGTGGCCAGCGTGACATCGCTGCTCTGGCGAGCCAGAGCCGCACACGGAAACGCTGTTTACCTTCCCGCTAGTAAGCGGTCCCTATTTATCTACTTGCACCCGAGGGTGCTTTCGAACTGCTAGGTTGGCAGGCGCTGGGACCGAACAACAGGAGCGCACCCCGCCACGGGGATTCGAACCGCCGACCTTTCGATCGGCAAGCCCTAGGCGCTGAGGCTTTTACCCACAGCGCCACCCGCGTCCCTTGTAACCACAGAACCTAGGACTTGCCAATCAGAAGGTTGGCAGTTTGAATCCCCACAACGGGGTGAGCTCCCGTTGCTCGGTCCCTGCTCCTGCCAACCTAGCAGTTCAAAAGCACGTCAGAGTGCAAGTAGATAAATAGGTACCGCTCCGGCAGGAAGGTAAACGGCGTTTCCGTGCGCTGCTCTGGTTCGCCAGGAGCAGCTTAGTCATGTTGGCCACATGACCCGGAAGCTGTTCGCCGACTGCCTTGGCCAATAAAGTGAGATGAGCACTGCAACCCCAGAGTCAGCCACGACTGGACCTAATGGTCAGGGGTCCCTTTACCTAAGGCGCTACTGGACAGTATTTAATTATTTATTTATTTATTTATTTATTTTGTCATGAACCAGTATGCTTAGCTGTCCCCACTGGTAATAGTAATGGTAGGCTTTGGTCCTTGATAGTCATTAACACATGCGTTGAACACAGAGACGCCATATATACATTTGCTTTTTACTCTCATTTTACCATATAACTTGCCCCACGTTTGTTCAGTTTGGGGGCTTGTGTATACATGCATATATGTAAGCATGCATCATTAAAATATATTGTAAGCTGCCTTGACAAACATTGGTTTGAAAGGCACCGTATTATAAAATCTTAGAAATAAATTCAACATTTTTTTGTCCACCTTCTACAGCTCATGAGGTTGGCTCTTGCTTGCAAAAGCCAGAACTTATTTGTTAATACTTAAGATGCCACAGGACTCTTTCCTCTATAAGATGTAGCCAAAATCACACTGCACAATAGCTCCTGAAGTCCTGCCTAAGTTTGTAGCTTTCCTACCCACAGGTACTCCTTTTGAATTCCCTGCACAGCTGGGAAGATGGAAAGGAGCTGCTTCGTTATCTTTCTCCTCATCTTCCCCACCCCACATATATATGAGAGAAAATGCAGTTAAATTGTTTGACAAATTGTCTATTGAAGCAGATTTCCAATCTTGAACTCTTCCATAGTGGTATCTCCAAAGATAAGAGGTGGTGGTGATGATTTGTTGGTAGCTTTTAAAGATCTTTTATTCATGCAAAATCATATCTCTCTTTGGAAGGAACAGCTGCATTTAGCCATAAGAATATTAAGGTAGATATTTTCGCTTTAGAAACATTTCTGATTTCTTTTCCCCCTTACATTCTTAAATGCCACCTGCTTCATTCGTTTCCCTGCCTTCTCCATCAAACGCCACCCACACCGTTTTACAGGTTACGGACTGCTAGCATGCCTTGTGTCCTGCAGAAAATACTTGTGAGATGCTTCCTTTGTTTTATCCCTTTATCCCTAGTCCATAAAGCTAAAATAAAATAATTATGAATCTGACGTGGGAGTTAGACCAGACAGTGGGCAGTACCTGTGTCACCTGAAATTGTTGCTGAATTCTTTTAAAGTGGAGAAGGGAAATAAAATTGCACTTTCCACAGGAAGGAATGCTGAAATTTATTCACTTGCTCCTGAGAGAAACTGCTTCCTCCCAGTTTGTTTTCTGGTGCCCAGAAGGAGGGAAAAAATTGCTGATAAAAACAGATTTTCTGGGGTGTGAGGGAACAGAAGGTGAGGGAAAGGTTCTCTGTCTACTCATCTGTGGCATTAATCTACATGACTCACATTCTGATATTCGGGGCATGCCACCATAATATATAGTTTGACCTATATATTTGGCTGCAAACTTGTCTGACTTGCAGGATGTAAATAACTACGAATCTCCATGCAGGGATATGGCAGTAGCCCAGCGGGATTTGTTACTTTTTGTCCTTGGCATAGAAGGCCAGCTGAACATTTTCCAAACTGCTTTGGAATCACCTGAAAAATAAATCTCAAAACCAGTTTGCCACGTGGTTTGGTAGAGAGTGGAGTTAGGAAAACAATTCCACAACCCCCTTGGGAACACAATACTGGTTTCATGGTCTTTTAGGAACAGAGTCCATCTAGTGCCATTGGGTCAATCTAGCTCATTACTTCTGAACCAAGTGACAATATCTCTGCAGGGTTTCATGCAGGGATCCTTCCTAGCTCTACCAGTACTTTCTAGGGATCGACTATGACACTTTGCATGTGCTTTGCCATTGAGCTACAAGACTCCTAATGTGATGAGGATCTTCTTGTACAGCCAGTGTACTCTTTTGCTAGAGTGATGAGGATCTTCTTGTACAGCCAGTGTACTCTTTCTTGGTGATATCAGCATTAGTCATACTCAGCATAGACCAAACTGAGATTAATGGAGATTATTTCAGTAGGTGTACTCCCAAGTACAATTTATCTGGTTATCACTTGCTCCCTCTCGCCTTCTTTTGCTGTTTTCCTGCTTTCTGGGAATTTCCTCACAGAGGTTTCTGGGAGGACCTTTTCCCCCTGGATTTTTTGAATGGAGAAGGCAGCATCTCTTTTTAGATGTAGAACATGGTGCTGGTTTGAGTAAGATTGCTCTCCGCTGCAAAGCTTTGAAGATGTCTACAAATGTGTTAACCTGACCCTTTTGTCCCTTGCCCGGTACAGAAATGTGCAGGAAGAGGTGTTCCTGTCATCTTATGTATTGTACCTATATCCTGTTAGAATAAATTGGGTAATGTTATACATAGTTTTTGATTCCTTGGAGGAATCATGGGGTAGAATTAGTATGCTTGGAACGAAAAGTCATGTAATGATTTTAAGCATATACAGAGATGTTAGTAGAAAATAACCAATTGGACAGCAGTACTTCATTGAGCCTCAGTCCTAGGGGGTTCAGGAAATTCAAGAGTTTAATAAAAAAAAGGAACAACAAAGAAAATCCAGTGTTCAATTCTATCTTGGTGTAGCAACTAAAACTCTGCTAAAATGGAGAGTGATTATATATTCCAAAACAGGAAGGAGGCGGATTATTAATTTGTGGAGCGAAGTACAAGATGCTATCCTTTTACCATATCCTTTTATTATGTCTTTATAATATGGAGTTGTGAGCCTGTAGATCCTATACTGTCATCTGAGACAGCTTAAATAATGACATGAATGGGGAGGTGGAGTTGAATACTTTAGAGGTAATATGAAAGAGATAACAATAAATTGAGCAGTAGTGGGTAAGCAAAGAGAACCCTGGGGAAAATGAGATAAAGAGCAGCTCCCTTTGTATGCCCAGATTTCTCTTACTTTCCACATACCCTGCTCCCCTAATCATCCATGCATGGATCTCAAGGACTCGTCTAAAGGTGTGAGTTTCTTTTCCTCCAGGTTGTACATAACGCAAATAACCCATTAATGTTGTCCATTAGCTCCCGCCTTAATCATGTGCCAGCTTGTTCCTTATTAATAGATGATTCAGGTGGAGAGAAGAAGACCTGCTCCAGTCTGTGAACTAGTTCAGGCAGGCAGTAGGTGTGCGGTTGTCAAAACCATTCCTAACTTGATTCATGTCAATCAATAGTCAGCGTAGCTCGGAAGCTGCCGGCAGCCTCAAAAGGCTCTAAACTGCATGTGGCTCCCTGCTGGACCTGGGATTAGCATATTTTTTGTATTTGAGGCTTGCTAAGCCTTAGGGAGAACAACACAATCATTAACTGGGAATTAAGATAGTTGAGAAGCCAAGTCCACTCCGTTTCCGTACCTATCGCTTGAGCAGTTGGTGCGCTTGCGCCCACATAGATAATTATAAGGAAGACAAAAGGAAGTTCCCCAGTGAGAGCTGGGTGGGTTTTTCCCCCCTGAAATCTGAGAGTATGGACGTTTGTCAAGCAGGGACTCCCCTTCCCATCTTTCATCCTTGTATGTTCATTAATTTTCAAGTTAAACTGCTTCCATCAAGATTGCAGTAGTAAAGCTGTGATATGGAGAGAAACAGAAAAATTTGGGACTAGCTGTAAGTTTGAGGCAGTCGCCCTGCAAAGCGTTGGTCATTGTATAGTTCCCCTCTAACCCTACAGCTGCAGACTCACTGTCAGCAACACCTGAATCTGTGAAGCCACCTGCAAGTTTAAATTTCCAACACTGCCCAAAGTGCCTAATTTAGCTGTGGCCACAAAGGAAGAATGGGAACCAGTGTGCCATTGCTTGTTCCTTTGCAGTCCAAATGCTGCATTTTTTTGAACTTGGCATCCTTTTCTGTCCCTCTGCCTGGTTTTGCAGCCAAACCTTAATCACTTGACACTATATGATGGGAGGTGAATGACAAGTGGGTGGCCACGCCCACCTATCAAATTGGCCTGTGAAGTGTTGGTTACTTTCAGATCTGGCTTTCCAATTGGATCATCTAAGGATGACACAACTACTCTAGCTGACAACACCCCTCCTCAAATACTGGAGTTTGGTTTCCTCCCCCTCTCCCCACAAGTGAATTCATTAGAGACAGGCTGAATTCTTCATCCCACAAGCAAGCAATTCTATAAACTTAAAGCATTACCTCATTTTTCCCCCCGAGGAACTAATCTTTGAAGGCCCATTTTATTATTATTATTCATTTTATTCCTATACCGCTTTATATTTTCTCTTTGCTTCCTGCCTTTACCTACCTTAATAATATCCTAACTTTAGTACAGTGTTACCTCAGGTTACATACGCTTCAGGGTACATACGCTTCAGGTTACAGACTCTGCTAACCCAAAAATAGTACCTCGGGTTAAGAACTTTGCTTCAGGATGAGAACAGAAATCGTGCTCCAGCGGCACAGTGGCAGCAGGAGGCCCCATTAGCTAAAGTGGTGCTTCAGGTTAAGAACAGTTTCAGGTTAAGAATGGACCTCCGGAACGAATTAAGTACGTAACCAGAGGTACCACTGTAATCTGTTTTGAAAATATACGCTGCTTGATTATTGGGATATATTTCCTGGGCATGCAAACTTAAGAGCTCCCCCCTTTCTTTTGTTTGTTCTATTAATAGCATCTTTTCCTTTTTCTTTTTGCAGTGTGTCGTTTTCGCTATGACTTCTGGCCAGATGTGGAATCACATTCGTGGGCCCCCTTATGCTCATAAAAATCCTCAGAATGGGCAAGTGGTAAGTTCTCTTATTCTACCAATGTATAAAAAGAATGATGTCATCACAGGGGCCTATAAATTCAAGTTGCAGGGGAATAGGGTATGAAAATAAGTGACGATTATTTACCTTCGGGGCAGTTTTTTCAAAAGACTTGTGTCTAGTACATGCTTTTGATAACACATGAACTTAATGAAACTATTTTTTAGGAATGTGCAGTGAACATAAGCAAATGCTTCATCTGTAACCAAAGTTCATGTAAAATTGCTTCTACCAATTGTCTTCTAGCCATACCAGCAGATGGACAGACTGCATACTAATTATGGCTTTCCACTCTCCCTATAAATCTTTAGTGAGGTTTTAAACTTTTTTAGTATGTGTGTGCACACATGTTATACAAAGAGATGACAGGAGGCTTTATCTAAGGGTGAGCACCTTCTACAGTGTCAAGATTTTGGAAAGAAAATTGGACTACCAGCTTCATTCTAATCAGCTCATGTCATGAAGTTTTTCCAGCAGTTCAGTCCTATACTTATTTATGCATAGAGTGTCTGGAGAGGCTTTTGACCTGGTAAATATGTTTAGAAATGCAGCCTAGGTGTAGCAAATGTTACTTGCATGGGTTATTTGTTTGCAATTTATTTATTTGCAAAAAGGTCTATTAAAAAGAAAAAAAACGGCAGCAAACTGTATAAAATAACAAAAATGCATTCATTTAAAAGTACAAAATATATTACAATTCAGTTGATCAGCTTCCTTGTTTGATTCAGTTGATCAAATAATAATAATAATAATAATAATAATAATAATAATAATAATAATTCATTATTATTATTATTATTATTATAACCCACTCTGGGCGGCTTCCAAGACACAAAAACATAATAAAACATCAAACATTAATAGTAACAATCTGATCCAATATAAGAGTCACAATAACTTTAAAATAAACAACTTATATTAAACATAGCAACATTCAACAATCCATCAGAATCTAATAGTAAACATAGCTGCATCACCTCTCAGGGAAAGCCTTGGTGAATAGTTGGGTTTTAAGCAGCTGCCTGTTTAACAATGCTTTATCTGCCTGGCTTTTATGCGCCTGGCTTTTATGTGCATTGATGCACATTCCAGATGGCAGGTGCTGCCACACTAAAAGCCTTGGTTTTAGTGGACACGAGACTAATCTCAGGAGCGAACACCCTTCTAAGAGTGACTGTCCCAAGGCTTGGTGACCTGGAAAGTATAGATAAGGTAAGGCTTTCTCGGAGGTAGCCTGGTCTCAAGTTCTTTGAGACTTTGCATTCGAGTATCAAGACCTTAAGCATGTTGTAAACATTAGCATATGTGGTTATGGAAGATGGAAGTAGCTTGTTGTTTATGCTTCACATAGTCTGTGCTACTCTTACTTCTTTTAGAAATGTTCAGCCCCTTTTCAGAACATCACCTGTTTCATTAAACAGTGTGTGATAACTGGAAAACACAGAAAGCCGAATATACATTTTTGTTATAACTGTCTCCCTCAGTGGTGAGAGCTAGTTTTGTTTCATCAGACATAGTAATTTAAAAGAAGACATACAAAATTAATTGGTTTGCAGGCCTCTTCCTTTGCCTTGTCCTGCATTTTGGAACCTCTCTAAAAGTATCTCCTGAATCAAACTGAGCAGGAAGCTGTGATGAAGAAGGAGTAGGTTCTGGTTAAAGTGAAGTGAAGTGTCGCTAGGATGGAGGGTTTAAAAGATACTGGGAAACATTGTAAATAGATTTGCATAACTTAGTGGATGATCCCTTGGTTCAGCTGTTGTAAATTCTTCATCATTTGTAATGAATCAAGTCCCAGGAGGTGTGTTCCGACTGCATAATGATAATCATGCTTTTGACTTCAAAGGGTGATTTGAATCTCAGATGGCTCTTGGGATTTTGTTTTTTGTGTTGGGTGTATAGACATGGTTTTTAGAGTGTAATCCTCTTTGAACTTTCTGCTGGGATACAGAAGCGGAAGAAAAGAAGTAAGACTGATATGAAAGATAGTAAGAGAAACTGTCACAAGAAAACAAATGTGAGGGCTTTGACATAAAGACCTCCATTTCACCTTGTTTCCCACCAAACATAGAAGGTCTGAGATGGGCTGCATTCTTGAATTGTTCTTTGAAGAAAGCAGAATAAAAGTATTACATTTTTTAGGGGGGGAAATCCACAAGTCATTGCGTTGGTAGTTTACAAAAATGGGATCTGTCCCTCCCCCTTCCTGCGAGCTGAACTTCCCACCATTTTCATGCATTCTCATTACTGTTTAATGAAGAATAATTTGCTTAGTCTTGCAAGAGGAAATCCATTCTTAATTTTCTTTGATACCTCATATCTTAATTAGAGTAAGAAAAAAAGTGATGGACTGAATTTGATGACTGATCTACTTGGTGACGGGAGGATAGTTGCTGATGGATGGCATAAAATGACACATTTGGTCTGGCAGCTTTGTTATGCAGAACTTTGACTAAGGAAGTAATAAATAACTGTGTCACTAAAACACTGTGTTTAGAACAGCTCAGAATTTTTCATTACTCCATTTCAGTATTTAATTTATGATGCCTTTTATATGGAGTGACAGAAAGGTGAGAAATGGCAGAGAGCAGACAACTGATGCTAACAATTAAATTAGGGTTTGTGTGTGTGTGTTTAATAAAATGTAAGTTTTTATAGATTCGGTTTGGATTCTGTGTCCCGGAGGAGGAATTTAAGGAGACCTATTTTCATTACTTTCTGCCTTTTTCTCGACATCTTATGATGTGTTGTCAGTCCTCTAATAGTGATAGTCTTTTGCTTAGGCGCTGTTCCTTCTGGGAGACATTGAAGGGTGGCTGGCACAGTTCATGTTCATATGTTAATTGTCATCACTGTCCAGAAGCAGCCCAGTGTATAAGAGCTATCCCTCTCATAGCATCTCCCAGAGAGGCAGCCATGCTCATCTATTGCAGCAGAAGCGGCAAATGGCCCTTCAAGCTAGGTAGGGGTGAAGTGAAACTCGTAGCAATTCTAAAGCCATTTCTTTATTTTATTTTTTGACATTTTAAAGGATTTCTTAACCTTCCGCTGGGGTTAAGGTGGGGCTTTTTTGATACTGTAAACAATGTGATTTTCTCAGGTTGCTCTAACTGAAAAAAAGACAAACTTCTCAGAATAATTTTAAATAACAGATTTTATTTTCAAGCACCATAAAGTCTAGCACACGCTATTGCCCTCCTGTATTCTCCTTACAAGCGCCAACATTTGTAGCACAGAAATTGCAGTTCAGCATCACTGAGTTTCAAATGCTTAGTAATTCAGCTAGAGCATAAAACAGTAAGTATGCCATCATTTTGGCGTTTGGGCTTAGAAACTATCCCCTCTGTTCTGTTCTTTGTGTGTGTGTGTGTTCTGGAGGGCAATGGAGATGAAGGCCGTGGTGGTAAAGAGCAGTCACAATTCTTCCTTTGGGGTGCTTTTGCCTGTGGCAACTAGGTTAAATTTGCCAGGGGACTCCAGAAAATAGCCACAAAGTCTGGAATTAGAAAACATTCCATTTTAAAACGTCCAGAAATTATCAAGTACGTACAGAAAAAAAAGAACTTAAGCCCTGTGTGCCTGGTGATTCACCGGAACATTCTACTGATTGATGCAAGCCAGAATATTTTCATGAACATTGGTGCACAAAGCAAGAATGGGAGAGCGAAGGAGGAGCCTCAGTGCTTGCCCGTGACTTTGTAAATCATTGTTTATGAAACCACGGAGAGTCATCCAAATACGGCAATGTTGAGCCTTTACAGGGGTAATAACATTTCAAATTCAATTTGTTAACAATGGAAGAACAATAAGTGCCAAAATTCAAATATTTGCAATGCTCTGAATGTGGGGAAAGCTGGTATATGTGCGACAACGTGCTTCAGTTTTAATTACTGCCTAAGCTTATTATATTTCTGTAGGATTCACAGCATCCCCAGAAGTAAAGGCACGGTTGCATAAAATTATGTATCCAATGTTAGGCCTACTCAGAGTAAACCTATTGAAATTAATGGACATGTGTGCCTTAAGTTCATTAATTTCAGTAGGTCTACTCTAACTTAGTTGGATACAGCCCATTCAGAGAAAGTGTAGCTCCAGATAAAAAAAAAAGGCTAGATAAAGTGCAAGGAAACATTTTTTCACTTGCATTAAATATCCAGTTAACTAATGAGGACATTCTAGACATTATCAACTATGACAAATGGGTGACAATCCAGCTCTGTTAGTAGAATGCTTTGAATGTTGGAGGGAAAACTTCTTCCATTCTCTGTCAAGGGCAATAAGAAAGCCATAATGATGTGTGGTTGAAGGTCATAAAGTTTAATGAAATAACATCTTGCTGGAACAAAGTCTGAGTATGCCTGTTCTAAGGGGACAAAATAAATTACGGTGACTTTTCCATTTACAAAATAAATAAATAATTAAAAGTACATAAAACGGTCCATTCATTTGGAAAACTTCAAAATGCACAGTCGATCTTTTATTTCTGCCCTTTCTATTTCCCTAGCTGAAATTATTTAACATTTGTGAAATATAATTTTGTGTCTCTGTTTAAAGTCAAAGTTCTTGAAGTCTTTTGTGCTGTGTGTGCAGAATATCAGGGGTGGTGGCAGGACAGCTCTGACACAGAGTTAGCTTTCCCTTATATTCTGGAGGTGGCCTGTATTTCAAAGATATTGTTCTTGAGAATTGCTCTAGGAAAAGAAAAGTAGAGACCATGTCTTTGTAAATTCTTGTATCAAAGAAAAAGAAGCATGTTTATCCATCTATTATTTATTTGGTGCTTGTTTATGCTCCTACTAGAAATGTCGCTTCTGGTATTGAATTCTGTAAAATACAGTAATGCTGTTCTCATTCATCTGATAAACTGGGAAGCTAGTATAAGGTGAAAATGGTTAAATTAGTTGCACCATTATAGTTAATGAGACTTCTCTTGCCAAGATAGTCTGTTATGCACTTGTTCCATTATAAATTCATGCATT